CAGAGCTCCGACATCGGGTCGCTCGAGTCAGCCTCCGCCCAGGCATTACTCGGCCGAGTCCGAAAAAATCAGCCCTGCCAGGCTCCTAGACATCCTACCTAGAATAAAAATATTATTTTATAAAGTGCCCATTGTTGGAGCGGGGTGGCCCAGGAAACCTAATTTATATTTTATAACTAAATATTTCTCAATTACATTAAATATTAATTTGTAAAGTATATTCATTCATTCAGGAAACTAGGGAAATATTAACAGAAGATAGGAAATTTATATGAAATGTTCTTAATTTTTCCATAATTTGATGCGAAGTTTTTGATAGATGATTGATCTGTGGATTAATAAAAAATAAATAAAAAAACCTTTTACATCAAGGAGGTTAAAAACATAAGATATATTTTACCCCTCGTTCCTTAATCTCATCATTTCTTACATTTATTCTCTGCATTATTCAAAAGGTTTCTCTAGCATTAATAAAATTCGAATTTTCATATTCATTGGAAAAGTAACAAATTGCTGATTTGAGAATTCAAATTCATGAGCATTAAAAACACAAGTATTTAATATATATTTCAAAGCTTGTTTATAACAGTCTATTACACACTAATATTTTTGATTATTTTTTACCTATTGTGAGTAGAAATGGTGTAGGCAAATATAAACATGGTGGGTAGTTAACGATACTGCCTTTTAATCCAAGTACACGACGTATATATATATAACGTAACATATCTTAGATTTGATTAAAAGGTTTATTTAAAGCTCTAAATAAATGCGAGTCTTCCTGGCTGATTTTTTATCTTTTTTAAACAGTTAACAAGTCAGGTACGCCCCTCTGAGCTGCTCTTCATCAATAAAATCCAAAATACGTTTGGTATTATCTAAATCAAAGTATGGAATCACTCTGAATATTTCTCGACATATCTAAATAACTGTAACAAATACATTTACTGGCAATGTGTTTCTTTTCAATACTATCATCAAATATTACAGACCTTACTTCAATGATATAAGTTATTGAATGAGAGAGTTTGGCTCATCAATAATAAACCTTCTCAGCGGTTTCGCCAAATTAATCTCTAGACCGCTCTACTATTGTATTGGAATGGTTTAGGATATACCGCTGATGGGTTTCACTACTGATGAGCCAAGCCCTCTCATTTCATAACTTATATCATTGCAGTAAGGTCTGTAGAGATAATATTCAATGATATTATTGAAAAGAAACACATTGCCTGTAAAGTTATTTGTTACAAATTTTATCGATAGATAGCAATTGGATTGAATTTAATTTAATAACTAAATATTGATAAAATTTGTAATGAATTATTTTTGTGGAAACGTTATTTAGAAATTCTTGTAACTATATATATATGCATATCTACATGCATATTCTGAAGTTTCAATTGAACCTCCTCCCTTTCCCAATACTCTTCTTCACTTTTATTTCGCTCTGAATAAAATTCCTGCTCCATTCCTCCACGTTGCTATCTATACAGTTGGCTCTAAAATCAAAGATGGAGTTTGCGCTGGCGTTCACTAGACTGTGAAATGCCCCCGAATTAGGCGATTGTTTTGTCGTGTCCCCACATTTCAGTGTTTTAGGTAGAAGTTCCTGAATTGTTTAAGGTACTTGAAATTGCCACTAGCTTACCAGAATACCTAACTATAGAAATTTTCCTGAACAACTTTCAGTGATGAGATCAGTTCTAAACTATAGAACAGGCAATCTCCTTATCAATAGATATATGTTGCTAAATTAATGAATGAATAGCAACAGTAAAAGATGTACCACCAAATGGATGAGAAACCTGACGTCTAGCTAGAGACCATGGTTTCAGGCAAATGGCCCCCTTCAGTCCAGGACTTATAGTTTGCCAAAGCTGATGTTGTGGCTTTGTCACCGACCCGAAGCCGCTAGTTTGCAACGATGAGCAATAGATGGCGTCTAGTTTTGACACCTATTCTGATGGAAGAGACGACATTTGCTTTTATAAAAGAATACTAATACCTGTATAAAAAATACTTTTATATAAAAAAATTTAATATATCTCTTTCAATGAAATAATACGCCTTTAATACAATATATTACCTTATGCGATATTATATACAATACTGGGTTGTATGTTTAGACACTTTAAGCAAGAACAACAATAGGTTTATATAAAAATATGCCTGTGTATCTAGACCTAAATCGATATCAAAAATACTGGTGCATGTATATGGCCTGAATGAGTACCACAATACTGGTGTATGTATATGGCCTGAATGAGTACCACAATACTGGTGTATGTATATGGCCTGAATGAGTACCACAATACTGGTGCATGTATATGGCCTGAATGAGTACCACAATACTGGTGTATGTATATGGCCTGAATGAGTACAGCAATACTGGTGCCTGTACATGGCCTGAATGAGTACAGCAATACCGGTGCCTGTACATGGCCTGAATGAGTACAACAATACTGGTGTATGTACATGGCCTGAATAAGTACAACAATACTGGTGCATGTACATGGCCTGAATGAGTACAGCAATACTGGTGTATGTACATGGCCTGAATAAGTACAACAATACTGGTGTATGTACATGGCTTGAATGAGTACAACAATACTGGTGTATGTACATGGCCTGAATGAGTACAGCGATACTGGTGCCTGTACATGGCCTGAATGAGTACAGAAATACTGGTGCATGTACATGGCCTGAATGAGCACAGCAATACTGGTGCATGTACATGGCCTGAATGAGTACAGCAATACTGGTGTATGTACATGGCCTGAATAAGTACAACAATACTGGTGTATGTACATGGCTTGAATGAGTACAACAATACTGGTGTATGTACATGGCCTGAATGAGTACAGCAATACTGGTGCCTGTACATGGCCTGAATGAGTACAGAAATACTGGTGCATGTACATGGCCTGAATGAGTACAGCAATACTGGTGCATGTACATGGCCTGAATGAGTACAGCAATACTGGTGCATGTACATGGCCTGAATGAGTACAACAATACTGGTGTATGTACAAGGCTTGAATGAGTACAGCAATACTGGTGCCTGTACATGGCCTGAATGAGTACAGCAATACTGATGAATGCATAGAGCCTGAATAAATGCAACAATACTGGTGCATGTATATGGCCTGAATGAGTACAACAATACTGGTGTATGTACATGGCTTGAATGAGTACAGCAATACTGATGAATGCATAGAGCCTGAATAAATGCAACAATACTGGTGCATGTACATGGCCTGAATGAGTACAACAATACTGGTGTATGTACATGGCTTGAATGAGTACAGCAATACTGATGAATGCATAGAGCCTGAATAAATGCAACAATACTGGTGTATGTACATGGCATGAATGAGTACAGCAATACTGGTGCATGTACATGGCCTGAATGAGTACAGCAATACTGGTGTATGTATAGACCCTGAATAAGTACAACAATACTGGTGTATGTACATGGCCTGAATAAGTACAACAATACTGGTGCATGTACATGGCCTGAATGAGTACAGCAATACTGGTGTATGTACATGGCTTGAATGAGTACAACAATACTGGTGTATGTACATGGCCTGAATGAGTACAGCAATACTGGTGCCTGTACATGGCCTGAATGAGTACAGAAATACTGGTGCATGTACATGGCCTGAATGAGTACAGCAATACTGGTGCATGTACATGGCCTGAATGAGTACAGCAATACTGGTGCATGTACATGGCCTGAATGAGTACAGCAATACTGGTGCATGTACATGGCCTGAATGAGTACAGCAATACTGGTGCATGTACATGGCCTGAATAAGTACAACAATACTGGTGTATGTACATGGCTTGAATGAGTACAACAATACTGGTGTATGTATATGGCCTGAATGAGTACAGCAATACCGGTGCATGTACATGGCCTGAATAAGTACAGCAATACTGGTGCATGTATAGAGCCTGAATAAGTACAGCAATACCGGTGCATGTACATGGCCTGAATAAGTACAACAATACTGGTGTATGAATAGACCCTGAATAAGTACAACAATACTGGTGTATGTATAGAGCCTGAACAAGTACAACAATAGCGGTATATGTATAGAGCCTGAATAAGTACAACAATACTGGTAAATTTATAGAGCCTGAATAAGTACAACAATACCGGTATATGTATAGAGCCTGAATAAGTAAAACAATACTGGTAAATGTATAGAACCTGAATAAGTACAACAATACTAGTACACGTCTAGACCAGTCTAACCATGTGTTGTCCAGGCCACCGCCTTCTCCACTACAAGTCTTCCGCAGCTCTCTCCATAACTTCCAGCAACCTTGGTCCAAATGAAAGGTGTTTTCACTTGTTTTATTACCACAGCCTCGGTTGAAACGTTATTGATAATAAAAACCCGTCTATTCGTGGACTAAAATACTTGTGTGTGTCTTTATTTACAAGCATAACACACTTTTATATTTATATAAAGCATATATTGTTATATCCTAATAAAATAAATTGTTTTTCAACCTTGAATGAAATTTATAGTCACATATATTCCTTAAAACATTTTGGAGGACCCTTTTTGTACATGGTTTATTATATGTATATTATATGTAGGTGTAATGTAATGAAAGTAGGAGATTGTTATATCTAGAAGTAACTAGAAATTTATCTTTTTCACTATAGAAGCTATATAACGTTGTGATATAGTGTATTTTATGTTGACATCAAACATATACATCAGTATTAGAGCTATCAGAATAGAATGATTGAAAACATTTTATTAACCACAAGTCAATGGTAGGAGAGAAAATATACTATTCTATAAGTTACAGTACCATCTTGAAACTTTAATAAAAAGTGAAAAATAATGGCTGTATATATAGGAAAAATGGCTGCATCAAGAAATGGTATGACTAAGGTAGAAGACATAGAAGAAAGTCCTATTGCCCATGTCTTCGTTCCACCTCATAAGCCAAGTTAAGACCATTCTTCTACCGCATTGATTGTCTAGTGGTTAGGACATTGTATTGTGTTCGCAATAGCCCAGGTTCGAATCCTGGTCATGGCACCTTTTTTGTTTTTAAAGCAAATATAAACGAATACATTATAATCTGACACGGAGAATCTGTATAAGACTAATGTCTTAATAAAAGCTTTGTGTGTGTGTATTATAATCTGATAAAGTTTAACTTCTAATTGATTTAGGTATTAACCTTCAAAATCGGACATCTCCATACACAGTTTTAAAAACCAAAATGGCAAATGTTATCAATTAGCTGCTCTCTGGCAATAGGACCTCTTTCTAAAGGACATTTTGACTCAATTGTCATATTTTCAGAGGAAGGCAAGTAAACTATAAAACTATAATTTATTGCTTAACAGAGAATATATATATATATTATTTTTTAGTGACAAACTTGACAGCGTCGTTCCCTCCCACTGACACACCTAAGTTTAAAAAATGTCTCTTTCTGATGAGCTGATTTCATTTTCCAACATTTTATGTTAATTTTAGCAGTATTAATAAACAGGTTTGAAGTGCTAACATCAGAAAGAGCGCAATTTTCAACATTGGGCGGGGTGAAATTTTGCTGTATCCCAACGTCCTATCTATATAGCAATAAAATTCCTTTTTGTCAACATTTTGGTTATCTTAATTTGGAACTATCTATTTGCTAGTCATTAATTTAAATTGTTATACCGGGTCTCCGGACCACAATCCTCTAGGACTTGTCTAGGAGTCCCTTGGAAGACAATTTAAATCGCGTTATCACCTTCGCCCATGTAAAAAAGACGCTCTTTCTGATGGGCATAGTTTCACAGCTCAAAATCCAATATAAAGACTGATAAACAGCGCGTAAATATAAGGTTAGAATTCACATGGTGTTTACCGGGCTTCAGAGAAAGATTGGAGCTTCGAGACCCTGCCGATCAGAAAGAGCGCAGTTTTGTACCCTGGGTAGGTAGCGGGAGGGGGACCACTCGGCTCAGTTTCTCGCTAAAATCTACCGTTAAGCCGCAAATCGCAATTTTAGTGTTTTCCACGTCCCGGAATGGACTAATTGGACCAAAAACACCAAATGGTGGCAAATTTTGATGAAATTTTTAGAATGACTTTTATTGGACTCAATATTTATCACAAATATTCCTAATAATTTGGTGTGATGTAATGTGGGTCAATATTTCTCTGAAAATCGCTAAACCCTCATTTTTTAAAATGGCATAAGTGCCATCTATTGAAATAAATATAAACTACTTTTTTTTATTTATTTTTCATACAGAATTCTAGCCCAAAAATATCAGAACTTCACCTCGCATACATTTGTTATATAAGGTATTGGAAAGTTACCTCAAGTCAACTTCTGCTTGTCTTAATTTATCAAAGAGCTTTTTGAGCTCAATTCTGTATGAAAATTAAATCAAAATTTAGTTCATATTTATACCAATAGATGGCGTTCAGCCATTTTAAAAATTAAGAGTTTAGCGATTTCCAAAGAAATATTAACCCACATAACTTTCCACCAAATTATTAGAAATATTAATGATATTTGAATCCACTAAAAGTCATTCTGAAAATTTCATCAAAATTTTCCACCATTTGGTGTTTTTTTCGCCCAATTTGTCCATTCTGGGACGTGGAAAACACTAAAATTGCGATTTGCGGCTTAACGGTAGATTTTAGCGAGAAACGGAGCCGCGTGGTCCCCCTCCCGCTGACCCTCCCAGGGTACAAAATTGCGCTCTTTCTTATGGGCAGGGTCTCGAAGCTCCAAAATGTTTCTGGAGCCCGGTAAACACCATGTGAATTCAAACCCTACATTTACACGCTGCTTATCTGTCTTTATATTGGATTTTAAGCTGTGAAACTACGCCCATCCGAAATAGAGTCTTTTTTTTTTACCTAGGGGAAGGTGTTAAGGCGATTTAAATTGTCTTCCAAGGGACTCCTAGACAAGTCCTTGAGGATTGTGGTCCTGAGGCTAGTTAATCAATACAACAATGTTTTCGTGCTTTCAATAGTTTAAATTTATTGGATAGCTTAGAAATAGTTCAAAATTAGGAACCAAAAGAATAATCAAAAGAAGAAACAAAGAATAACCTTTTAATTGAATATATTGTTATTGCCTTTCTCAACCGTCAATGTTTGCGTGAGGTTTCTAAGAAAAGAATATGGGATCCATTGTGTATACAGCTTAGAACAGATATCTTTTATTACAAAACATTTTGGAACAAAAGTGCGAGCGGCCCGAGACGCTCCCAGACGCAGCCCGAAGAGCTCATTCGGATAGCTTGTCATACAGAAAGGAGGTGAGTGTCCATTTCACATCATTGTGGGGATACTGAAAACCTTGATCACACACGCATTTGTTATATAGGGCGTTTTAAAGCACCCCTCATGCTTTCTAAAAACTTATGTAATATGTGGGTCAAGCAAATTGCTAAATCCATTCAGGGATATCGATTTAAGGGATATTGGCTCCACATCAGGGATATGTGAGGCTCCAAATCAGGGATATGTGGGATTGCACATTGGGGATATGTGGGGCTCTATATCAAAGATATGTAGCTCCACATCAGGGACATGTGGGGCTCCACATCAGGGATATGTAGGGCTTCAGATCAGGGATATGTGAACTCCACATCAGAGATATGTGGGGCTACACATCAGGGATATGTGGGACTCCACATCAGGGATATGTGGGGCTCCACATCAGGGTATGTGACCTCCACATCAGAGATATGTGGGGCTCCACATCAGGGGTATATGGGACTACACATCAGAGATATGTGGGGCTCCACATCAGGGGTATATGGGACTACACATCAGAGATATGTGGGGCTCCACATCAGGGGTATATGGGACTACACATCAGAGATATGTGGGGCTCCACATCAGGGGTATATGGGACTACACATCAGAGATATGTGGGGCTCCACATCAGGGGTATATGGGACTACACATCAGAGATATGTGGGGCTCCACATCAGGGGTATATGGGACTACACATCAGAGATATGTGGGGCTCCACATCAGGGGTATATGGGACTACACATCAGAGATATGTGGGGCTCCACATCAGGGGTATATGGGACTACACATCAGAGATATGTGGTGCTCCACATCAGGGGTATATGGGACTACACATCAGAGATATGTGGGACCCACATCAGGGATATGTGGGGCTCCACATCAGGGATATATGGGGCGCCACATCAGAGATATGTGGGGCTCCACATCAGGGGTATATGGGACTACACATCAGAGATATTTGGGGCTCCACATCAGGGGTATATGGGACTACACATCAGAGATATGTGGGACAATTTGACAATTAAATAATTTTTATTGACCGCTGGTCAACAATTACTCACGAGGAGTCAAAAGGGCAAACTATGTACATTGATCAGGAGGGCAAGGCTATCCTTAGCTTGTGAATACCCCTGCGAATGGTGGGATGGCTGTTCCGAGTTCGCTCGAGAGCAGCGTCAAGGAAGCCCGCGAGGGTACTCCCCTGCTCAGGTGAGAGATCCTTGAGTAGATCCAATCTATCCTCGCGGTATAAGATCGCAAACATGACGGCATCCAGGGAAATCCCAGGCTCCAGCAGGGGCCCAAAGCCGGGTTCAGCGATCATTTCATTGAAGGTTGTATCTAACTCCGGCATCAGGTCGTCGTCGTCCTCCATCGGGTCAGGCGGTGGAAGCAGAGGTGTAGTCGTGGCCGGTGTCGTCTTTTGCCCCTGGGGAGTGGGCGGTGTTGGCTCAGCGAGCCGAGGCGCAGGCAGTGGGGGTACACAGCGCTCTTCTTCCGTCATCGGAACGTCCTCCTCCATCTCCGTCGGGGCGGGCGGCGGGGGTGTAATCAAAGCAGGTGTCAGCTTGTTGGAAGTGAGCGGCGTTGGATGAGATGGTCGAGGCGCAGGCAGTGTGGAAGTAGGGGGCACTGCGGCTGGACCGGTCCTCAGCTCTGACATGACCTGTCGCAAGACCTTATAAATGTTGCTATTTACTCCGGGCCTTAGGTCGAGGATTTGGTTTATTAGGCCGGCAAGAGCATTGCTCTGCGGAGGGGTTAGGATGCTGACCGCGCTTTCGCGCCTTGGTCTTCGAGGAGAGGAGGTCCAGGACCTCCTCCCGCCCAAGACCAAGGGCGCCCGTTCCAGCAAACGAAACTCCGGGGTTTCTCTTGAGGAAGGCCTCAAGGTCGGGTCTCGTCTTACGCCCTGATGATGACGGGGAGGGCGGCACAAGGGTCCCCTGTGCATGCAGAGGACCAGGAGGGGCGACGGAGGCTGGCAGGGCTTGAAGCACTTCTCCGGGGGGCTGAGAGGCCGGAGGGCGAGGGTCCGCGGGTGCCTTTGGTGCCTCTGTTGGCTCCATTGCCTGTAGGGCTCTGTTGGAGGTGGGCGGCGCCAGCACTTCGGCTGCAATCTCCATGGGCTTAGAAGGAGGAGCCACGGCGTCTGAGGATGTTCTGGTAGGCAGGGAGGCAGAAGCGCCGGGAGCCGATGTCTTAAGCGCAAGGCGCTTTGGTGACGGGGCTGGAGCCGCTGGTGTTGGACGGCTCGGCTGCCGAGACACGGTGGACGATGCACCAGGTGGATGGGTTGCCGGTTGTGGCTGGCCGTTGTTGGGGGCTCTCCCAGGAATGATGGGGCAGTTGGCTCTACAGTGACCTTGCCGGCCGCATCTGGAGCACTTGACTACCTAAGAGATGAAAACCGACAGGGCATTACCCTTATTTCGGATGACGACGCGGGTCGGGATCTTTTCCAAGGCAATGCCCTCTTTAAGGAGGATAAATGCCTCGCGTCGACCATCCGTGAAGGTGTACCTTCCGGCTCTCAGCCGGATGGGGACGATGGAGGTCACGTCACCGTAGGGCTTGAGAGCCTCGATGACGGCGGCGTCGTCCACGAAGAACGGCAAATTTCCGACGGTGATTCTTTCCGCCCTCTTTTTGAAGGGGAAGGCCCTGAGGTGGGTGTACCCAACATCAAGACCGTCCCTTATGAGTCGTTCCGCCAGGGCCTTGGTGGACAGGCCGACCAGCATATGGCCGTCCAT